ACAAATGTAAATACATCTCCAACGAAAACATATGCTGAATGAACGGAAATGACACCGTGTGAGGAATGTCTTAATGCTGTTTAACTTCGCACGAACAGAAAGTGCGTCGCGGACCACTCCGTCTTTCCATGTTAACCTAAAGATCCCGTGAAAGTAGTTTGTGTGGTAGTTTTCGACTAACTTTATATGACATCTATAAGTCTTCTAGTCCACAGAGCAGGACGGATATACATACTGCATTGTATACAATATCTGTTGTGGGTATTTTCAGGTTGTTGTTGCAAAATACTTTTTGCTTTGGATGAACATAAACGGCATATGTGGAATCTAACTTGGCTTGAATTTCAAGGCCTAGAAAGCAGCGCTGATCCAGGTTGCTGCCAAGGTAGGCGAAATGTTCCACTACCTTGAGTTCTTCTCATCCGATTGTTGCTCTGTTTTTGGGTTAATATATAAAGTAATGACATGAGCTTTCGTTTTGTTTATTCTATGTCTACTAGTTAGACATATATTTTGTATCCTGTGCATAGTTCTGGAATCTTGTCTACGATAGCATAGTCGCTTGCACATTGGAACCCATGGAAGTTTGTTAGAGTTGCTTTTGTACAGGCTTTTTAACTATCTTAGATTGTAGAGGCCTCCGTGTAACCGGAATTCAATGTTGACCGCTAGCTACCTCTTCTAAGGCTCTGTGACAGAAGTGGGATACAAGAAGCAGAAAGATATTGAAGGAGGCTGACAGGGTTCAGCCCCTTTGCGTGAGGTTAGGTGGATTCCAAAATTCTTTGGGATCTACCAGTGGATATTGTGACAGGCTGTATCAAAAGGTTTATCCACATCTATGAAGACTCTAAGGAAGTCCTTTTTTCTGCTCACGTTTCCTTCCCACATTTTCTTTGTAACAAAGAATGCCAGTCGTGTTTGATCCCTTTCTGAAACCGCATTAGTTTTCAAGCAAATTGGTGTGCCAAATGTTCCGTTAGGGGCAGAGTATTATCCTTGTCAATATTTTACCAACTTCAACAGGGGTTGTGATAACCCCATGATTTCCACATACAGCTTTATCCTCCTTCTTGTTGTACTGAGTGACATCAATGCCATCTTTGAGTAATTAGGACCCTGTGCCATTTTATCATAGTTTCATATTTAGGTCATGTACATCCTTACGAGAGAATACCATCTGGTCCAAGATTTTGTTGTTTTTCGGTACTAAACCGGCGTTTAAGATCTCTAAAAACCGAGGTGTTCTATCCAGAACATGAATGTAAGACATCTCCAATTAAGCAAGGAAAATTAATAGATCACTAAGATTTGAGAAGGTACTCAAAGTATGCTAACTTCTTGTTTACAATTTGGTCCTTTGCTTCGTTTCTCTGAACACTGCAATTATATTCTGGACCTCGTGGCGTGGTTTCGTTTTTTTTTGTTTTTTTTGTAGACCATATATCGTTTTCATGGTGTGGTAGAAACCATGGGTATTGTTAGTATCAGCTTACCCCTGGATTTATTTGGCCTTCCCTAACTACCATTCGTTTTCTACCTTTCTTACGAGTCACATTATGGCCGAAGCCACGGTCTTAGCCAAAGTCTAGCGGTGGAGTTGCTAAAGAGGGATATTATGTTCTTTGGAGATTAAATGCTATACTATACACTTATAAACTGAAAGGTAAATAGACTGATATCTTACACACATATATTTATATTTATAAATTCAGACACTGTGTGCATATATGAGTGTGTGTGTGTGTGTATATAACTTTATTTGAACTCTCATTTCCTTCTGCCCCAACCGAGTTTGCAAAATAACTATAGAAGTGTTTCTTGCAGCGGTCAGTGAGGTACGTCGGGAACAACCGCTTCAACACGCTACCCGCCGTCGTGCTGTACAGCGAGCCTTGGTTTCGTGGCACGGAGTACGTGGTGGAGGTGAGGACAATGTCTCCGTTCTGGAGCACTCCGCCTTTCTACTTCTCTGTCTGTCTCTGTATCTCTCTCTCTCTCTCTGTCTGTGTGTGTGTGCATATATATATATATATATATATATATATATATATATATATATATATATATATATATATATATATATATATATATATATATATACATAAGTATGTATATATATATATATATATATATATATATATATATATATATATATATATATATATATATATATATATGTATATATATATGTATATATATATGTATATACATAAGTATATATATATATATATATATATATATATATATATATATATATATATATATATATATGTATCTCTCTCTCTCTCTTTCTGTGTGTGTGTGCATATATATATATATATATATATATATATATATATATATATATATATATATATATATATATTTAAATAAGTATGTATATATATATATATATATATATATATATATATATATATATATATATATATATATATATATATATATATGTCTAACACCTATCGGTTATCGGTTTACCAGTGGAGCTTGATGGTTGCTGTCCCATCTTCGTATATATCTTCCACTATTTTACAATATACCTCCTCTATTCCCTGTCTTCGAATAGCTTCTCGTACAAAGTCAAATGCTTGATCAATGAATGCCATACACAGGGGTTTCCTATATTCGTTTATTTTTTCCTTTATTTGGGTACGTGTGTATGTGGTCTGTTGTTGAGAATCCATTGCGGAAGCCTGGCTGTTCTCTAGACTGGTTAGAATCCAGACTGACAGACATGCGAGTTGTGATGCCTTTGGCGAACGGTTTGTAAGTAACTGAAAGGAGGCTGATGGGTCGATAGTTTTTAGATCCTTTCTATCCCCTTTTTTATGTATCAAAATAACTATTAGTGTTTCCGTTGAGAAGGCATTTATAAAAAGATTGGCTAATTACACTGTTGCGATTTCTCCTGCAACTATTATAAGGTCTATACTAATTCCGTTCCACCTGATGCTTCCCTCTCTTCATGCCTTAAAGGGATCTTTTCATTTCTTTTGTTGTGATGTTAGGTACGTCTCTAGTTACCGCGTTCGTTTCTATCCGTGGCTGTCCATTGTTGTATAGATCCCTTTAAAAGTCTTTCACTACTCTTATGATTTCATTCTTATTATATATCACTTCTCCGTTTGGTGTGTGTATATATACATGTGTGTATGCATGTATGTATGTATATACATATACATATATATATATATATATATATATATATATATATATAGATAGATAGATAGATAGATAGATAGATAGATAGATAGATAGATAGATAGATAGATATAGATATTTTCTCTCTCTCTCTCTCTCTCTCTCTCTCTCTCTCTCTCTCTCTCTCTCTCTCTCTCTCTCTCTCTCTCTCTCTCTCTCTCTCTCTCTCTCTCTCTCTTCTCTCTTCTCTCTCTCTCTCTCTCTCTCTCTCTCTCTCTCTCTCTCTCTCTCTCTCTCTCTCTCTTGTCAACGTCAAAAGTCTCTGATATTCTTTCAATATCTTTATCGTTTTTCTCTCTTTTTCCTATATGATAAAAAAATATCTTTGCACATGTCTTTCCGACGTATGTACAGATTATAAGTTTCTCTGTACTCGTCATATATTTCTAGTATGCGTGTGCATATATTCACATCGGTAGATAGACAGAGAGATAGAGAAGGAAAGAGAAAGAGAGAGAAAGAGAGAGAAGGAGAGAGAAGGAGAGAGAAGGAGAGAGAGAGAGAGAGAGAGAGAGAGAGAGAGAGAGAGAGAGAGAGAGAGAGAGAGAGACTTTTGACGCAGACAAGGGAGAGAGAGAGGGAGAGAGAGAGAGAGAGAGAGAGAGAGAGAGAGAGAGAGGGGGGGGTATGAGAGAGAGAGAGAGAGAGGGGGGGGTATGAGAGAGAGAGAGAGAGAGAGAGAGAGAGAGAGAGAGAGAGAGAGAGAGAGAGAAAGAGAAAGAGAGAGAGAGAGAGAGAGAGAGAGAGGGAGGGAGGGAGGGAGGGAGGGAGGGAGAGAGAGAGAGAGAGAGAGAGAGAGAGAGAGAGAGAGAGAGAAAGAGAGAGAGAGAGAGAGAGAGAGAGAGAGAGAGAGAGAGGGAGAGAGGGAGAGAGAGAGAGAGAGAGAGAGAGAGAGAGAGAGAGAGAGAGAGAGAGAGAGAGAGAGAGAGAGAGAGAGAGGGCGGAGGGGGGATGAAAAATAAATGCTGACATAGAATAATGAATATATAAATACATGCATAGAACATAACCGTAGGTGAATAAATAAACCTATAACCGCTTTTCTATTCCCATACACACGTACGAACGAAAGCACTGCAAATTCCAGGTCGCCAAACAGTAGGCAAAGTCCCAGGATTATCTACGCTATCTGTCATAGGCCGCTGGTCTGCCTGCTGACAAGAAGTGAAGTTATAAGTGAAAGCAAGTTAATGCCGCCACTCACTCCCGATGTCACGCCCGCCCCTCGTTATGCCCAGCAGCCGGGTGTTACTCACGTCTGTGTCCCGCTCACCCTTGGCGAGTCTTGAGAGCGAGCGAGGGCTGACACAATGGCGCGCGCAACGGAATCTGTGCGCAGTAGTTGCAATGCTCGCTCGCCTGTCTTCACTGTCTTCACTCGCCTGTCTTCATTTGTTTTACGTGGTTCAGAATTGGAATCGTTTCGTTTAAGGGGTGTTTTCGTATTCTAATGCGACTCTCGCTCATGTCAAACTTTTCGGAAGCTGGGGTTTAGTTTAATATGGATAAACGTGATAAGAGCGAATTGTCTTTGTCATTTTTTGTTAGTTGGGGAGAAAACTAACTTATACTAGGTTATAACCTAATAAGACTTGTTGACAGATTCATTTGATCCACAGTAACTTTCTTAATTTTTATATTTGTATAACTCAGCTTACTAAGCTAACCAAACTTATTTATCTAATATCCAATTTACCATTCCTGTTGATCCCACCACGTCAAGTATATCAAATCTGACTAAATTCGACCTATTCAGATTGAAATAATCTAAACCTAAACTCATATTAATGAACTTAGACTAACCTAATTCACTCTAAATCGGCCTAACTAAATCCTATAACAATGCACCGTCTTCAAATCAAACGCATCCTAACAACGCATATCTTACTTCCAGTTCACCCTAATATAAACAAACCTGACCTACCTTCACCAATCCCAAGCCAGTCTAGGCCAAAAGAACGAAGCTCGGCTGCTAAGCAGATTCAAAACTGTGAATAGTATTTATTTTCTTCTGAACACGAGCAAAATATACTATCTTTTAACTCTCGATCCAAGACCTAACTGTGTCTTTATGCTATCACGTGAATTTTCTCTTCATTTTCGCTGCCATTTTAATTTCACGTTTCATTATTCTTCATTCTGGTCGAAGATTCAAGAAACTTGACTCCTGTAAATACTGTCGCGTAAAAAAATACAACTCAAATAAGACTAAATTCAGGGATCTATTTTTCATCTCATTGTTTATTATGGATTGCTTTCGACGAGCTTTTATTAGCATTAGATGAGAAATTCAGTTATCAAGTGTAAATTACGTTAAACGCATTAATGCCATCTGCGGATTTATCTTCAAATAGGCAGTTGTTTTGAGACGTAATCAAAATGTTATCCTGTTGTAACTTAATCTAATCTAAATCTATTTAGAAGGCCTTTCGAAAGTGCAAAAAGTTTGGATGATAAAAAAGAAAATCGATTTCAGCCTATCTAATGTGTATAAACATATTAAGTTAACGACTATCGTTTTTTCTAAATTTACAAAAATGAGTCACATGATAATTTATGTCAGCCTTATGTTAATTTATGGAGTAATCTCTTTCCCTCAGTCCTCAGTTCACAATTTTCAGCTTATGATATCTGATTAACACGCACAGGCCTGTTTTTTCATACTTTTCACGCAATGAATACCCTGGCTATCGCAATTTCAGTGCTCTGATCTGAAAATAGAAAATGCAATGTAATCAATCGTCGATGACCATTCTTTTATGCATCATATCTAATCGTATGGATAGATGTTCGCTGGTCAGTCCGGATTTATTTACAATTGCCTGACACAAACAAAGAGTGTTCGTCACCGAGAATGGCATTCAAAGGTCATTTGAGATTATTAACCTCAGTTTAGCTAACTTAGGCAAACCATCGGTCATTAAAAATGCACCTCACACACAGAGGCATATCGTATGTCCAGTATATAGGTTCCAAGCTTGTGATCTCCGGGCCTTGGGAATCAGGATAAAGAGATAGACAGGCACAGGATAGATAGATAGATAGACAGAATCAAGATAGATAGATAGGTAGACAGAATCAGTATATACAAACAGAAATATAGAAAGAGAATATAGTATTATAATCCGTCAAATTTCAGATGCGGAAAAATGGTCTCGAAGCCTCCGATTCGCCAAAACGTTTTTGAGAAAAAAACGAGAACGTGAGGCTGAAGGCGGCAAATTTTAATAAAAAGTAATGAGAAATTGTATGTAAAGATAAATCAGGTGATTGGTGTGAAGTAACAGTTTTTTTGCATAAAAAAGAAGAGAAACAAATATATGTACATAAAGAAATTTTATTGTAAAATGTATTGATTATGAGAAGGCTGTCAAGGTAGCTGTTCTTTGTATTTAGTAGTAACTCAGGGTGGGGAAAATAGAGAGGATTATAAGTACAGTTACATTTGGGGTAAATGAGGGTAGATTAAAGCAGTATAATTAGTAGAATATTAGTAGATGTTGTAAATACATAAACACTATGGGCCATTTCAGAACTTTCACCATACGTCGTAATACTATCTACGCCAGCCGCCACTGATCACAGAAGTTATCATAGGCTTCTTTTTCATATGTATCAACATTTTGCCGTCAACCGTGGGCTGAACCGTGTTTACCACAGCAGCCATAAACGGCACTTTGCTTCACTCAACAGCTCAACACACCTGAAAGCATTTATTGCTGCCA